CGCAGGGAATCTGGCTGCAGGTGCACGGCTTCCAGACGTCGCAAAGGTGCTGCTACAGGGCGCCGAAGGTGCCGACGACGACAGCGAGGCCGAGGCGCGGGCGAGGAGACTGCTCATGTTCAGGCCTAGCGAGCAGAAGCTCACGTGGCAGAGCTCGGGACCGCACGCCGTGCGCCGCTCGGGGTTCACCGTAATGCGCGCGTCGTACCTCAGCTCCGCGCTGTCGCAAGGCCAGACGCTGCGCAAGGGCGTCGCCATTGACTGCGCGCGGGACGAAGACGCTGGTTGCACGGGCATGTCAGACGAGCGGGCAGTGGTGGCTGCACCGCCTCTACGTCATGTTCTCACGCGCCACGCGCATGCGGAACATGCTGATCCTGCGGCCGCCGCCGCGAGAAATCCTGGAGCGAGGGCCGCCGGCATCTTTGCGGAAGGCGCTCATGGACTTCGACGTCAGAGCGGAGAGCTCCAGGGCAGAGGCGGTGCAGCTCGCGGCAGAGCTGGGTTTCGTGCTGCCCCCCGCACAAACGCGGCGGCGCCCCGCTCGGAGCCCGCGGGGGTGTCCCAACGGCTTGGTCTCGCGCGCCAGCGGCTCGCGGGGTTGTCCCTACGGCCTGGCCTGCGGGGCTGTCCCCGACGGCTGCGCGATTTCGCCGTCGGAGAAAACGCCCCTGCCAGGCGTGGCGGCGAGGGCGCCGAGGAACATCTACGCGCGCGCCCTTGACAGGAGGAAGGAGAGGTGCAGGAGGAGAACGAGCGGGGCGGCGATGAGGAGGGGGAGGAGGAGGAGGAGGTGGAGGAGGGCAAGGCGAGGAACATGAGGAGGAAAGGGAGGAAAGGGAGGAGTCGGAGGAGGAGGAGGCGGAACTGGAAGAGGATGAGAAATGCAACGAGTATGATGAAAAGGAACAGGAGGAGGCGAAGGAGAAGGAGGAGGAGGACGGAGAGGGCGGAATAAAGTCTCCGCCAGAAGATGAAATAGAAGGCGAGGGGCAAGCTAAATCGATTATCATGCGGGGTCCTATCGTCGGAGTAATTTATATGCGTAGGGGTTTGGCATGAAAATGCGGATTACGCTATCCCGCTGCGATCAGGCCGCACATCTCCCTCGTCAACGACTGCACCAGCTTCATTTGTCCGCCATGCTCGCACATGCTGGCGAAAATCGCATCAACGAAAAAGGTGTGGGTACATATTTCATCTGGCGGATGTCTCTTAACCAACAGAGACGGAGCCCTGTGCCACTGCTTGCCATTCTGGCACGCGCTGATCGCAGCGCTGTTGCTGACTAGGGCGAACCCGTGGATTTCGCCAACGTCTTTTAGCGTAATCAGAGTGTGGGGGCCGCTCGGAGGTATCCTCGGGCCTCGTGAGGGTGACTTGGGGCTGTCCTCGGCGCATCATGGGCAACTTTGAGCCGTTTTGGGCCGTCTTGGGCGCCTCTCGGGCTGGCGTCGGGCCGTCTTGGGCGGCCCTTGGGCTATCTTGGGCGCCTCCTGGGCCATCTTGGGGCCCTTCTGGGTGGTTGTGGGGCCTTTTTCGGGATCCTCTCGGGCGGCCTTGGAGCGCTCGGGGGGGTCCACTAGCCGTTTCGAACCGGTCTTGGCTCGAAATGGCGAGAAGGTGGAGATCTTTCAAACACCTTTTTAAAGAAATCAATGGTTTCTTTTGCCGCGGCCCGTCTGGACGGGCTCTGGGGCCGTGCAGAGGCCATGTTGGACTTGTTGGGTCGGCTCGGAACTCTCTGTAAGCCATTTTGGGTGCCTCTTGGGGCCCTTATGGGGGCTCCTGGGGGGCTCTCTCGGGCCGCTGTGGGTCTCTTTTGGGCCGCTTTTTGGGGTCCACTGGGAGCCGTCTCGGAGCACCTCTGCGCCGTCTTGGGGCCCTTGCCGGGGCCCGTTGATCCTTGGAGCCTTCGTGGGGGGCCCCTTCCCAGGAGCCGTCTATGGGCTGCTCTTGGCTCAAGTCATCTTTCTTAACGCGTTGGCTGTGCCCAGGAGCGGGCAGGTTTGAGGCACGGGCAATCCAAAGTCGGGTGAAAATGGGTCCCTGGACGCCACCCCCGGTCGAACCGCACCGGTGTTCTCGGCTGCGCCCAGCCGTGTCGGCAAGGGTGCCGTCGAATCCGAATTGTCGGTGTCTCAATTCGGCCTGCCCTGACGTCGCCCGCCCCGCACCCGGGCACAGTCCTGCATCCCCAATGTGTGCACCACTTCGGCGGCCTCTCGGAAGCACGCCAACGGAACCCGGGGCCACCCAGCTGCCTCGCGCCGCGCCGTGCGAGACCGCATCACCTTCGCGCCCTCGCCGGCGCCTGGCGCTTGCAAACAAACACCTCCCGGCGGCTCCCGTGGCCCACGCGGCTGCTGTCGGGCCGCCTTTCCGAAGCCGGACGGCGGGCGCTGTCTCCTCCGTACATTACCAGCGCCTGGAACATAGCCCTAATTATCCCTATGCTGGGCACCTCCTCATCACGATGCCAATCTTAGGGATTCCTTCATTTTTTGAAGACGAATCCCTAAGATTGTCATCGCCTTTTGGCGTGTCAATCTTGGGGATAGGGATACGTTCGAGGCTGGTAAGTACAAACTGTTTGGATCGCTCGGGGCTTCTCGTCAGCCTCGTGGGGGCCTTTTTTGAGCCTCTTGGGCCGCCTCGTGTGGTGGGCTTCCCCGCCGGAGGCTGAAGAAGAGGGTGGGCCCCCTCCCGGGAACAAGCCACCCAGAAGCCTTCGGCTCCTTTCTCTGGCCTCCCTGCCGCAGTTGCAGGCGGGCGCTTCCTCCTCTTCGTCCGCCGTTCACTCCACCTCCGCCTCTTTAACCTTCGGATTCGACCGGAAGGGGCACCCAGAAGCCTTCGGTTCCTTTTTCTGGCCTCCCTGCCGCAGTTGCAGGCGGGCGCTGCCTCCTCTTCGGTCCGCCGTTCACTCCACCTCCGCCTTTTAAACCTTCGGATTCGACCGGAAGGGGCACCCAGAAGCCTTCGGTTCCTTTTTCTGGCGTCCCTGCCGCAGTTGAAGGCGGGCGCTTCCTCCTCTTCGTCCGCCTTTCACTCCGCCTCCGCCTGTTCAACCCTCGGAGCGTCGCCGACGGCCATGGTGGGGCTGCAGCGTGCCTCTCGCAGCTTGTCTGCTCCCCCCGGTTTGGACAATTTGGAAGCACCTGGGGCCTCGAAAAAAGTCACCCGGAGGGCTCTGGTGACTTTTCCGGTTGCCTTTTCGAAGCTTGATGACGGGCCCGTCTTCCACTTGGCATTGTTTGGGGGCCTCCCGGGGTTTCTCTTCGGCCTCCTGGGGGCCTCTCGGGGCCCTCTTGGGCCGTCTTGCGGCATCCTGCGGGCCTCTTGGGGACCTCTTGGGCCGTCTTGGGTGCCTCTTGGGGCGCCTGTAGGGCCATCTTGGGACCGTCTGGAGGCCCTCTTAAGGCATGTTTGGCTGCTCTTGGGGCTGTATTGGGTGCTTCTTGGGCTGTCATGGGCGCCACAGGAGCCGTCCTGGGGTCGTCTGGGGCCGTCTTGGGGGCCTCATACAGGGGGCCTCCTGAGGCGTCTTCGAGATTTTGGGGCCCGTATTGTCGTCTTAGACGCTTGAAAAACGAAAAGTACTGAAATTACGAAAATGCACGCGTTCCCCAAGGATTGGGACGATTGTTGCTTGCGCGGGCTTTGTCGGGCGTCTTCTGGGAGCCCACTTGGAGCGTTTTGGGGACCTCTTTGGCTGTCCGGAGGCCACCTTGAGCGTCTTCGAGCGCTCTTGGATCGTCTCGAGGCCCTCTTGGTTGGACCGTCTTGGGACGTCTTTCGGCTCTGGTGGAGGCCTCCCACGGCGTCTCGGAGCGCTCTTGGACCCTCTCCAAAGCGCACCGGGGCCTGCTGGGCCTCGCAGGGGGCGCGGGGGCGCCGAAAAGGGGTATCGGACCCCCACCCTATTCGCATGCACTGGCCCCTGCAACGTCGAGATGGCGTTGGGCTCCAGCTTCGCCTTTCGCATTCCGCTGAGCAGCGACAGAGCCCGCTGCCATTGCCTGCCTTTCTCGCACGCGCTGATCCCAACGTTGTAGCTGACCAGGGCTGACCCGCGGCCTTCCGGCCGCGGAATCTGCCCGCCATCACCAGACGTGGAGACGTCGCGATAGCGAGCGCTCCACGCGATCATCATGTCGTGAGCCGCGATGTCCGCCATCGCCGCTGCCTCTTCGGGTGGGCTTGCGAGCAGCCTCTCGCCTCTCGTCCACCCACCTCTATTAAAGGCCATGTTGAGACCACATGCCTCTTGGGGGCCGTTTGGGGGCCTCTGTTCGGCCTCCCTTAGTTCTCTTGGGGCCTGCCTGGGGCCGTCTTGGGTGCTTCTTGGGTCGCCTCTCGTCCGCCTGCTTGATTAAAAGCAATGCTGAGGCCACATACTTCCTGGGGGCGGTTTGGGGACCTCTTTTCGGCCTCCTGGGGGTCTCTCGGGGCCGGACCGTCTTGGGTGCCTCTTGGGCGCCTCTGGGGCCGTCTTGGGGCCGTCTCGGATCGTTATTGGCTACTCCTGGGGCTGTCTTGGGTGCGTCTTGGGCCGTCTCGGGCGCCTCTGGGAGCCGTCCCCGGGCCGTGTGGGGCCCTTTGGGGGCCCTCCTGGGGGCCTCTGGGCGCGTCTTGGGGCGAGCTGGGGGGCCTGTTTTGCCGTCTCGGACGCTGTGAGGAGGACGCAACGGCGCATAGTCAAAATGCGCGCTTCCCGAAGGGAATGGGACGATTGTGGCCTCTTGGAGCTCTACTGGAGGCCCTCCTGGGCCTGCCTTGGGAGCCTCCTGGCCTGCTTTGGAGGCCTCTGCGGCTGCCTTGGGGCTCCCAGAGGTGCTCTGAGGTCGTCTTGGCGCCCCCATCGAACCTCTCGGAGCCGTCCCGAGGCCGTCTGAGGCCTTTCTTGGGGCATCAAGACCCCCCCCCCCCCCTGAGCCCTTCTGGGGTCGGAACCACGGGTCAAGACAGAGACCCTTCTCGCACGCAAAAGTCGCTGCATTGTAGAAGAGATGGCATCGGGCTCCAGCTTCGCCTCCCGCATCTCGCCCAACAGCGCCAGAACCCGCTGCCACTGCTCGCTCTTCTCGCACGCGCTGACCCCAGCGTTATAGCTGACTAGGGCTGACCCGTGGCCTACGGGCTATGGATAGGGGGAAAACAAGCCTACCTCGCTTTTGACCACCCTCGCTTCCAAGAGATACCAAACGATGCCAAACTACGGCCTGCGCTGGTCAGGCAGCTTGACGAGGAGGCGCGTGGTATGACTTGGTTTTGCCTGGAAGCGAAAGCGGGGTAGGTAATTCACGCTCTGAATGGAATATTTCCGAGATTTCACGTTGGACCAAGGCAGACATGTTGACGCAAGGCCTTCGTGATGCCGATGGGCCCAGACTTCGCCTCTGCTGCTGCCCGCAGCCGAGGGGCTCTGCGGCATGCTGCTGTTGCTGCCGCTTACTTCTGCTGCGCTGCCATGGCCTGCTACGGGCTGCTGCTGTTCGCTGCTGCTGGTGCAGGCTGCAGGGGGGTGCTGCTTCCTGGTAATGCGGGATGACAATTAATAAAAAAATGGGAGAGAACGATGAAACACATACTTTTCTGCAATTAGTGCATAATTTTCTGACTGGAGGATAACGATTTGTTTTTTTTTTTTTTTTTTTTAAAGTGTTCCAGCCCGCGGCTGGTATTTTCTAATCGTCATCCCGGGCGCCGCCGCGTGAACACGACCCCCGGTCATTTGTTAATCGTCATCCTCCATTGCCCGTGGGTGCCCGAACGGACTCACTCTGCCCCTGCGTGGGCCTCGTCTCCCGGGAGGCCCACGCTGGGAGGCCCACGCTGGGGGGGGCCACGCTGCGGGGCCACGCCTGCGGGGCCACGCCTGCGGGGCCACGCTGGGAGGCCACGGGGAGGAGGAGGAGGAGGAGGAGGAGGAGGAGGAGGAGGAGGAGGAGGAGGAGGAGGAGGAGACCACGCTGGGAGACCGCGTAGAGGACCCCCCCAAGAGCAGGCGGTGTCTCCGTGGCGCTGTCGGCTCAAAAGCTCCGCGGCCGGGAGCGCGCGCGGTGGCTCCCGAGGGCGCCGGCAGAGCAGGGGCGAAGGCCCGCCCTCGCCGAGCGCGTGCCTGCCGTGCGCCTGCCGCGGGGCTCCCAAACTGGCCTCCCGAGGCGGAATGCCGAACGGCGACGGGCAGTGCTGGACCAGCCGGGTGCGTACTCCAGTCGGACTCGCTGGAAGAGGGCACGCGAGAGGGCACAAGACCCTTCCGAGGGCCACCTCGCCATGGGAGTGCAGGGAGGCACGCGTCGCGAGGCACAGGCCACGAGGGTAGCTTTGGGCCGGCAGGGTCGACCTACTGACCCGGGCCTGCTGTACGAGTGCCCGAACTGCACCGCCCCTGCTCGAGTTCCGCATGCTGGACAGGAACTCCAGATTTCGTAATAAAAGGGAGGGGGTCTGGACCCTCCAAGACAAGCCATTTCAGACCCCCCCCGTGGGAGAACCCTCCAAAAGATCGTCCCCAGACCCCCACAGGCCCTCCAAGATAGCCTGGAAGAACCCCCCCCCGAAATGAGACCCCCCTCCCTTTATTACGAAATCTGGAGAAGCGTCATTCGTGCGATGCCTGGCGCGCGTTCCCATAGCAGGATCCCTCACGCTTGTCTGCGACTTCGAAACAGAAGAAGCTCGTTGTTGGCGTCAGCAGGTCGTCACCCCCGATGGACACGCTGAGCTCCGAGCCCAAGCCGTGAAGGACTCCGTGGCCCGGTGTGGCCAGAAGGTGAAAGAGGGACAACTGAGCGGGAGCCTCTTCTGGACCACGGTGCGCCGGGAAGCGGCGCAGCCACCAGCCGCAGCATGAGCCCACTGTTGAACAAAAATGCCAGCACCCTCTCTCTTTTATCCGCAGCTGCGGGTGACTTAGGTACTCCGGATCTCATAACAGTGGGGGGGGTCTCTGCTTCTGGGGGGGGGTCTCACGGGCTTCGTCAAACACATTTGTGGGGGTCTCGATTTTGGACTTTTTGTTGCCTGTCCTGGGGGGGGTCCCAGACCGGCCGTCAAACACTTTTTTGACCCCCCCACCATTATGAGATTTGGAGCACCCTGGTTAGATCACGCAGCCTGCAGCTCGTGAGTGGAGCGAGGAGCGAGGAGAAAGGAGCGAGCTGTCAGGGTCGAGGGGGGAAGTGGGCAGAGCGAGGGGCGACCGGCACGGAGCACGCAGCGGGAACTGGCCATCGCTCGGACGTCCATTCCCTGTGTTGTTTTCGGTTTCGTGCGTGTTCTTTTTCTCGCCAAATGATCAAGGATGCTCCTCGATGGTCCTCGCCGAGGAAAAAACGCACACGTCCGAGCGATGCCAAGGGAAGGGAGGAGCGACGGCAGAGGAGAGAGAGAGAGAGAGGATGAGGGCGAGCCGAAGAATAGGGGGGAAGGCAGACGCCCGTAGCCGGTAGCTTCTCCAGGGGGCAAGCATCTGGGCTTCATGGAACATCTAAAACGATTATGTTGGGCCTGTGCAGTGCCTCTCGCCTCTGGTCACCCCCTCTCCTCGTGGAGGCATATTTGCCGCCCCTTGGGGCTGCTTGGACGCCGTGTGAAGAATTCTTGTGGCATCGTTTAGCCGTCTCGGGGCCCTCATGGGCCGCCTTGGGCGCTACTTGGGCCGTCTTGTGAGCGTCTTGAGCTCTCTGGGGCGCCCCTGGGGCCTGGAGCCGTCTTGGGCCATCCTGCGCCGCTCTTGAAGCCATCTGGGGTCCTCTTGGGCCGTCTTGGGCGCCTCTTGGGCCGTGCTGGGGCCGTCTTGGGGCTCTCACGTGTGCCTCTCAGGCTGTCCTGGGGGAACACTGGGGGTCTGAAGGGCAGGCCGGAACGCTGTGAAGACAAACAAAGAATATGCACACAGTCGCAGTAAACGCTTGCCTGAAGGATTGGAACTGTTTGGGCAATTCGGGGCTGTCGTGGTGGCCCTGTTGGACCTCTTTGGGGGCGTCCTGGGGGCCTCTCGAGGCGGGCCGAAGTAAGGTCGACTGGTGGTCGTTTCCGGCGCCTCTTCGGCCACCGTTGGGGCCTCTTGGGCCGCAGGAGGGGGGCGTGGCCCGAGGCCCGCGGGGCTGCCTGGGCTGCCCCAGGAGCGCTTGGCCTCCAAGGGCCCTGCGGAAGCAGAACCACCACTCTGATGCACACCACCTTCTGGCGCGCGCGGGTTCCTGGATGGTAGAAGAAACCAGCGTGCGCCAGTGGAAAATCCACCGTCAGCCACGAACGCGCAGATGTCGCCGACGCGCGCAGAAAAAGGAGAGGGAGAAAGGCACCAGAGGGAAGGGGTGAAGGCCCCCAGCGGCAGAGGAGGCGCAAGAAAATAAGATACGGGAACAGGCAGGAGCTTACTTGGGCTCTGTTCGGGTTCTGGGAGATTTTTGAAACTGCTGTCGTGGAGGTTCCCGCTTTCACCCCTAAGCGGCCGTGGGTGGGGGGGGGGGCACGGTTTGCTGGCGCGCGCGAAGGGCGGAGAGGCGGAGAGGGTGATGAGAGGGAATGCGGGCAGAAGGAGGAGGAGGAGAAGGAGGAGGAGGAGGAGGAGCAGGAGGAGGAGGAGGAGGGGGAGGAGGAGGAGGAGGAGGAGGAGACGACCGTAGAGGAGGGGTCACTCCCGCCTACCCTAGGCCAGTCACCCGTGGGCATCAGGCGGTGGCAGGCCATGGCGCGGCGGCGGCGGCGCGGGCGCACCGGGAACGACCTGGTTCAGCACCGCAGTGTCGAGGAGCTCGCGCCGGAAGTGAAATCGCGCATTTTCACCGAAAACGGTTATTTCATTCAGAGGGGGAACAGTGGAGGTGCAGGCAACGGCAGAGGCAGCGATCGGGAGAAGAGGACAAAGGAGAGGCTGAGGGCAGCCAGGCGAAACATCAGCTTTTCTTTCAATCGAGGGGCGAGAAGAAGGAGAGGAGCAAGCAGAAGCACGCGCAGCGCTCGGGAGTAAGGGAAGAAAAGGGGCAATGACAGGACGGCAGATAGGCGGGAAAAGACAGGGTGCCACACGGGACAGAAGCTTTACTGTCGAGGATGCCCGCATGGGCACGGAACGCGAAGGCCAGGGAGACCACGTAGCAGTCGGACTGGGATATCCCGCGGAGTCCAATCAGGCGGGGGGCGTTGGCCGCAAAGAGGAGGGGCATCCAAGAAATCAGGCGGCCTCAGAGGCTCAGAACACCCTCGCACCCGTGGATCACTCCGATGGTCTGGGACAGGCGCAGGGACGCAATTCGGCAGGCAGCCTGTCGAACCTCCACGCAGCATAAGAAGTGGCGGGGGACTCGGGCAGCATGCGGCCGATGGCGGCGTCAACCTAACCCTCCGCAGTGCCGACAACCGCGTGACCGATGAGGTACCGCGGGGCCGTGATGCGCAGGAGGACGCGGGCGTTAGTTCCAAACCCTGCCCGCGAATTACCCCCCCCCCCCCCCACACACACACGCACCTGCGACTTCGAGCCCGGACGCGACAGCAGGACTTGCGTTCACGCGGTGACCAGCGAGGGCAACGGCGCGTCCGACGCGCGGCGACGTCGAGCCCGAACGCGACAACGGGACTTGCGATCTAGTGCCACCGCGGCACGCAAGGGCAACGGCAGATCCTGCGCAAGGCGGCGCTGAGCTCGGGCGCGACAGCGGGGCTTGCGCCCTAACGCCGCAGCCCGCAGGGGCAACGGCCGAAATCGCACGTGGCGGCGTGGAGCACGAGTGCGACGACGGGACTTGCGTTCGAACGCCACCGCCGCCCGCCAAGGCGAAGGGGCGCCCAGCAAAACAGGAGGTCGTTTCATTGGGCTGAAGATATCTGAAGGGCAGGAGGCAGCGCGAACATCACCAGGGCGCACATCAAGATCCATCTGAGACCAAACGCCATCATAAATCAGAGAGAGGTCCATCTGCATACGGGGTGCGTGGGCAGATCGCGGGTGACACCGTCGCAAGATCATCCTCATCATCCTCGGGCTCAGGAACCCCAATCGCTGTCATCCTGGGACTCAGAGGGTCGGACCGCAGAGGATCACCGACAGGCGCCCCTCCTGCCTCGGACTTAGCCGTGGCCACCAGCGGCGAGAGACCGGG